AGGCTCAGGTGTGTGAGGGATGGGAATGGAAGGTCTCCTGGCGCAGCACTGACAATCTCTCGTTGTGGCTGACACTTATCCCTTGACCAACCAAACCAGAGCAGCATTAACGAGCTTGGGAAGGTGCTGTGGGAGCGGACAGTGCACACCCCCCCCCCCATCTTCCTCCAGCACAGGGAAAGGGAAAAGAGGAAGGACTTGCTGGAGCGTTTGGAAGGTGGGTGTTGCAGAGCAGAGCTGCTGCCAAGCCAACTGTGTTCGCAGGTTCAGGGAATTGGTTTTTCCTGCCAAGAGCTGCTGGCCTGGGCACTGGGTACAGCACATGTGAGACAGCGTGGGAGGAAGAGGAGAAGGGATGAGGGGCTGCACAGCAGCACCAGTCCCTGCTGGGGGTGTTGGGGTGCTGGTGGACAGGGGATGCACATCCCTGGGTGCAGGCACAGCGAGGGTGGGGAGAGGTGCATCACCAGCTGTGTGCTCAGGGCGAGTGGGAATGGGAGTGTGTGTGCCCAGAAACGAGGGTGGCACTTGGCCCTGCCTTTGGCAGGACGCTCTGCTGTCTCTGCTGGGTCTTGTCTGCAGACAAGCAGTGCCTCTGCTCAGGCTGTTTTCTCCAAAGCCAGGAAGAGTGGTACCCACCCGACTGCCACCCGCCCTGGGTGGTGCTCACGTCAGGGTGCACACAAGGAAGAAATATGTCAGGGTGAGGATGGGGAATCACTGGCAAAGGTTTTCCAGAGAGGTGGTAGATGCCCCAACCCTGGAAACACTTGAGGGCAGGTTGGATGGGGCTTTGAGGAACCTGATCTAATTAAAGACGTTCCTGCCCATGGCAGGGGGGTTGGAACAGGTCCTTTCCAACCCGAAGCATTCTGTGATTCTCTGTCCTGGAGCCACCTCCTGCCACGTTCAGAGCTGTGGTTGGGAGTGTTTGCACCCCATGGAGCTTTGCAGGGGCTGCCCGTGCCTCAGTTTCCCTTTGCACCGAAAGAAGGTTTATGGGTAGATTTTGGCAGCGATCAATGGTCTTAGAGACCTTTTCCCAGCTCGAACACGCCTCTGACTCTGTGGTCTGTGTGCAAACCAGCAGGAATCGCGGGCAGGAGGGGTGTGAGTGTGCAGTGCCCAGAGGGAGATGCCCGCAGGGGGCAGGACGTGGGGAGGGAGGTGTGAGGAGCTGCCGGGGGTGCGTGGAAGCCGCCACGCCCGCGTGTGGGCAGCGCTCCAGCTGCGCGTGCAGGGAGAGGGATTTTGGGGGAGGGACAGGAGATTGGTGGACGCGGGAACCCTGTGCCAGTCCACGAAGGGAGGCTGGAGCCGGGAGCGCAGCGGTGGAAAGCGCCCTGGGGGACCGGACCGAGGTCTTTGCGGTTAAAAGAGAGTTTTAAACACACCTCGGCAAAGGGGTCTCAAACGTGTGCTGGGGCTCCTCCGGGAGGAGGAGAATCCCCGGGGGTTGGGAGCGTGTCTGCGCTCGCCCGGGGCTGTTGTTTTGTTTGGGATGCGGTTTGGGTTGGATGCGGGGGGTGGGATCGTGCCCGAGCGTGGGCTGGGATAGCTGTGGGAGGGTGCACAGGGAGGGCTGAGCCCGCGGCTCGGCGATCCCACAGGATCCGTCCGAGCCGCTCCGTCCCTAAATTCCACGCGGGTGCTCCTATTTTTCGGGTGTTCCTCCGCGCGCCTTCGCTCCCGCCTCCCGCCCGGCCCTCGGAGCCGAAGCGCGGCTCTCCCGCGCTTGTGGAGGAGCATCGGCGGGAGAAGGAGCGGTTCCCTTGGAAACCTCTGGATGCCCAGCAACAAGTCGCTGGCAGCTGCCATGTGACCAGGTGCATTAATCAGCCGTGTTGTACGAATCAGGTCAGATGGGGCCAAAGTCCAGCGCGCTCCCCCTTCGCTCCGTCGCTAATTACCGAGCCCAGAGGGCTGCTCCGAGGAGGGGGTGGAAAACAACCCGGAGTGATTCGATCAAACGGTGACCTTTCCTGTTGTGGCTTCTAAGTTCATGTCAGACTTCCTCCGTGAAAAGAAATCTCTCTCATCCCCTCTCCCACGAATCTCGGATGCAAATGAGTGAGGCAGAGGAGTCTCCCGAGGTGGGAAAGCCGGAGGGAATGAATGTGCAGTGGACACAGAGAGTTTTCAGGTCTCTACTCGCAATAAGCCCAATATTTCAAATGCATCTTTGGAATGAGTAGCTCAGGCTTGAGACACTTTGGGCTGGACAGGCAAAACTCATGTTCACGATTTGGATCCCTCTGAAAATCATGTTTCTGAAATTTCAACTGAATTTGCTGGCCAAAATGACTTTGCTGGCCAAAATGACTTTTCCCAGATGTCACCCAGAGGACTTGAATCCAAGGTGCTCCCTAACAGCCCTCAGAGAAGAGGCTGCAGCTCTCAGGAGAACAGCAGTGCCTGCACTAATCTCACCCCTTGTGAACTGCTGTAAAATGGCTGTTCTTTGTAGAGACAAGAATTGGAACTATGGACAGGCTGGGAGAGCTGGGGGGGTTCACCTGGAGAAGGGAAAGCTCCAGGGAGACCTGAGAGCCCCTTCCAGGGCCTAAAGGGGCTCCAAGAGATCTGGAGAGGACTTTGGACAGGGAGCAGGAGGGACAGGACAGGGAGAATGGCTTCCCACTGCCAGAAGGCAGGGAGAGATGGGATATTGAGATGAAATTCTTCCCTGTGAGGGTGGTGAGGCCCTGGCACAGGTTGCCCAGAGAAGCTGTGGACACCTGCCCTGTGCCTGGAAGTGTCCAAGGCCAGGTTGGAGCAACCTGGGCTAGTGGAAGGTGTCCCTACCCATGGCACAGGTTGGCACTGGATGGGCTTTAATGAAACCATCCTCTGATTTTATGTTCTATGACAAACAGCTGGAGGGTTTATTCTCCATCATCCCTCGTGGCCCATTTCTTTAACCTCAGCAGGGCCTTTCTCCATTTGACTTGGGTTTCAGAGGCTGAAAGGCCACACTGACACTGAACTGAGAGCAAATTGGGAGAGTCCTGGTGAGCACACGAGGGAAAGGGAAAACTGAGGATGAAGGGACCCAGCTGGGGTAACAAGAGCCAGGAGCACTGAGTGCTGCCTTTCCCTCACTCTGGCCTTCCTTTCTAGTGGGATCTTCTAAGGGGATTATGTCCCCAAGCCTCACTGCCCTTTGAGGTGCATTGTGGAGGGACTTGGGCACCCTCAGCTTTTCCCACAAGATGTTGTTTGCAGCTTCAGCTTTCCCCCAAACTCCTGCTTTGCCAGGACAAAGCCAAGAGCAAGAGCTTCCAGGTTTGGCTCCTGAATGAAAATCCCTCCAAGGCCAGGCACTAACAAGGCTGTGACATCTCCTTTTACCTGAACACCAGCCCACGTTCTCTGTGTTGTGACTAATGCAGCTCAGGGTCAGTGGGTGCTGCCAGTGCCATCCCCTCCTTCAGGGGCCGTCACTGATTTGTGTCACACACAGGGACATTCTGCTCAAACCCAGCTTTTACCTCAGGCAACAGCAACAGGTTCTGGGCTGGTGGGAGCCAGGCCAAGGATTTGGCCCATCATCCATGATTGGCATGGAAAACAAACGAACAGAAAGAGTTGGAAACAGAGCACCTGGTTTGATTCTAATTGTGCTGTAATTTGAATAGCAGCCAGTGCCACTTGAAAATAGGCTCCTTCAGGTCATCTGCTCTTATTCACAGGGCTTTGGAGCCTCATATTTTCCTGCAGAAGATCCATCCCAAACCAGACCTGAATGTGGGTCTCAAGTATTACCCACACCGAGCCTTTAACTCTGGACCATTTTGATTTCTGTCTAATTAATGTTGCAAACAATTATTGCTTTTCCTTTGGTATCAGATGATAACACATCCCGTGCATGGGACATGTCAGAAGACAAAGCTTTACCCCAGCTGATCATTTAGGATAATTTAGGATAATTTAGTCTTGAAGAATTGATGTCTGCAGCCTGTGTGTTTGCCATCTAAGAGGCACAACACAAACCCATCCCAGCTGAAGAAGGCATTTGGGAATACATTTGTTTTCCCTGGGGAGTGCTGTGCTCTCGAGCTGTCTGACCTCCTTGCTCTGGGAACGGGAGAGATCCACCTGGATTCCAGGTCCTCAGATCAGGGCTGCCCGTCAGCTCGGTGCCTCCGGGAAGAAACGGAGGGTTGGGGGTTGTGCACGCTCCAAAAACAGGATGGAAAAGGCTGGGAATTCAGGGTGAAGCTTGGCTCGTCCACTGGGCTGGGAAATCAGAGCCCGCCAGGCCGAGGGAAAGGACCCCCAGCGGCGGAAAGAACGGCCCGGGGGGGTTTGATCCTGGGAAACGCGGAGCCACTGACCCCCGCGAAGCATCCCCTCCTCGCTCAGAGCGGAGCACGGCCCGAGCCGGGTGGGCTCTCCCGGTGGGCTTTCCCCCCTCCCGGACAGAGCTCCGAGCGCCCTTGCCGTCCGCTGCCCCGTTTCCAGGGGCTCCGTGCCCCCCGGACAGACCTGTTGCTGTCCCCCCTGGCCGCCGAGCCGCCGGCAGAGGCTGTCGGAGCGAAGCGCGGGCGGGTCCATGATGTAATGCTGCCGCAGCTGCCCCGACAGCCGCTCCCGTTGGCCGAGCCCGACAGTCCCCGCCCGGCCGCTCCTCCCGCCACCCCCCCGGCGGCCCCATAAAAGCCCCGAGGCAGAGGCAGGGCAGCTTCCCCGGCCCCTCCGCCGCGCAGGTGACCCAGCGCCAGGTGAGCCCCGCGGGGGCACCTGTGGAGCCCGTCCCGCCTCTGCCGGCGGCTCCTCGGGCACCGGGACCGCGGGGGACGCTCGGGGGACGCTCGGGGGACGCTCGGGGGACGGGTCCGGCCTCCCCCGGCCCTGGCTCTGGGGCCGAGGGGGTTCCTGGCCGTATCCCGGAGGGATCCCGGCAGGATGCCGCCATCAGCACCACGGACAGCGCCCGGCGGCGCCTCCGGGGCAGGGCTGGACCGGGACACGACCCGGGCATCCCTGACCGGGCACCGGGCACCGGCACCCGCCCGGACCCTCCCCGGAGATCAACGGCAGGTCCCCGAGGCGACGCTGGACTGTTCCCGGGCCAGGGAGGTGAGTCCAGCCCCGGAGGGGTCTCTGCGGGAGAGGGAAGGCAGGAGAGCGGGACAAGGGAGCGGCACAGCTCGGCCCGCTGCCCGCGGGTGCCCGGTGCCAGGGCAGGGATGCCCGGGGCGCGTCCCGGTCCTTTTCCCGGGCAGGGACACACGAGGGTCGGGAGATCACCCCGAGCACCCGGGAGGCAGTTTGGGGTCTGGCCAAGAGCCAAGGGCTGGCTGAGGTGGGACACTGGGATGGGTGGGATGGACTGGGACTGATGCAGACGCCTTTTCCAAACATCCCAGCCCAGGTGGGACACACTCACAGCCCGGGGGAGGGCAGGGAATAAAACCACTTGGAAAGCCGGGAATGATCGTACGAATCCAAATGTAACCTGCACCTGCTCGACATCAAAGCTTTGTGTTGGAAACCCCCAAAATCCTTGTTTTGAAAGTGTGGCTGACTGGTGGTTCGTGTGTAAAGTTGTTCTTAATATTCCCTAGTTTGTAGGAGAAACGGGATATTTCGCCAAGGTGCTTTGGGGAGCCAATGCTTCAGTGAACAGCTATTTGAAAATGTTTTTCCTCCATGGTTGGTTCTCCCTGAGTACTCAAAATTTGCCTTGATGTGGTGGTACACTTTGGGTCTGTTGACAGATTGTGTTATATTAAAGTGCTCAATGGCTAAATTGGATTTTTTCCCCAAAATGTTCTTCTCCAAAAAAAAAATAAAAATAAAAATAATTAAAAGCAAGAGGGATCAAATTAAACAAAGTGTTTTGTTTGCTTGGTTTGGGTGGTTTTTTGATTTTTTTCCTTTTCTTTTATTTTGACAAAATTAAAATAACAAAGTATTCAACTCTGTCTTGAGCTGAAATAAAACATTTTTTCCTCTTTTGGATTATTAAACCAAGGATCTAATAGAGAAAATAGAAAAGCTAAAATGTTGAAGTGTTGGAGCACTTTGGAAATGGAGCATTTCACAGAGCTATTGTCAGCTGAAGGGATTTGCTGCATTTGTTTTAGCTCCATTTTTGGAAGCTGAGGTTCACTAAACGAATCCCTGTTCCCTGGAAATTCTCCCCCAGCCCTGCTGAACGTGGGTTTGAACACTTTGCTGAGCAGAGGCTCAACAAGGTGATTTAATCCAGGCTCAGCCTGGCCCCATCTCCTGTCTTTACACCTGGATTTTTCCTGAGTAATGTTGGCCTCTGAGAGGAAATGGAAACAAGCTGTTCTCCATTTTAAGGAAACTCCTATTTGCTGTTTCAGAATTAAATATCTGGGGGGGGGGAAAAAGAAAAGAAGAAAAACACTTGAAAAGAGGGCTTGAACATCCACACGGCCTTCAAAGACATATTATAGACATTGAAAAAAACTATGGAGTGGAAACGCTTCCCTATGGAATTTGAGTGGAGAGATATCTTTGTTATCTCTCTGTAAATCTCTTTAATATCTCCCATCAGTTCTCTGTGCACAGTGACTCTGATCTGTCCTAAATCTGAGGGTCAGTTTGGGCAGTGCCTTGTCTCTTCCAGCACCAATATCAGGCATTTTTCCCTTTGAAGTTCAGCTGTAAAATAAGGGAGGGGGGAAAATCACGTTCTTTGCTCCCAAACAGAAGAAGCCAGAAAATTATATTGCACCAAATACCTATTCTTGCTTTTATGGGTTTATTCCTCATTCTGGGAAATCTCCTAATCAAATCTCATATTTAATATAAAAAATAGGAGGGCAGATGATATCATATCCTCGAAGCTAACTAAATTTGGTGTTGTTCAGAGCATTGCTTGATCAAAGTTACACTTCCATTCATTCAGGGCATATTTTGTCACTTCTTTATTTTTCACTGGCCATTTTCTGTAGATGTCATGAGTGGATCCAACCCTGTCCCTGACAGAGGTCTCTGAAGAACAGGGGATTCAGGGTAAGGTCTGATCTAAATTCAATTTAATTCCTGACCCTTTAAGTACTTAATAAAACGACTAAACTGGAAATCAGTCTGTCAGGCTGGTCCCACCTCATCTGTTGGAAGGAAACACTGGAAGTTTTGTAGGAAATAAACACCCTGTAGATTTTTGTTGGCTCAAATCAAATAGAAATAACCCCAGGATCCTCCTCCCCTTCTCCTGCTCCCCGCAGACAGACAGTGTTCCAGCCTCCAGGCTCTGTGTGCCTTGCACAAATATTTGTCTGTGTGCAATCGTGGCACCTGGTAGTAGCTGGGAGACTGGGAGGTGCTTGGGAATCTCAGCAGGAAAAGGGGAGTGGGTTTGAGACTCCAGATCTGCGGCAGCTTTTGAGCTCGGATGGACACGGTGAGGTCGTTCTGCCTCGGGCAGAGACTCCTTCTGCCCCACACTCCTGCTGCAGGGGCTTGTTCAGGGCCCAAACAGGAGCTGAAGGGACTCTGAGCCAAGAATTTGGCTTCTCTGCTTGCCCAAATCCCAGAATGGTTGGGGTTGGAAAGACCTTAAAGCTCATCTCATCCCACCCCCTGCCATGGGCAGGGACATCTCCCACTATCCCAGGTTGCTCCAACCTGGCCTGGGACACTCCCAGGGCTGGGGCAGCCACAGCTTCTCTGGGAAATCCATCCCAGTCCCTCCCCACCCTCACAGCCAAGAATTCCTTCCCAATATCCCATCTAAATTTCCCCTCTTTCAGTTTGAAGCCATTCCCCTTGTCCTGGCACTCCAGGCCCTTGTAAATAGTCTCTCACTGTGGATCAACGGGAGTTGTCTCTGTTGAGTTACTGAATTCAACCCCCTCCAGGAAAGCAAAAGGAATAAACCTCCCATGGAGCCACCCTGAGGCCCAGAAAGGGACTCAAAGCAGAGAAGTGATGGAAAGCAGGTGATAAAATTGATGTAGGTGTTCCCCCGAGGGCTGTTGGGATCCGTGTGTGGCCTCAAAGTTTGTCATTATTTAACAGCTTGCTAAAATTGAGTGAGTTTAGAACAAACCCAGTGCTGTGGTGGGGTTTGTAAAACAAGTCAGCACACACCTCACCTGAAAATGAGTAGGAGTGGGGTTCTAAATTAATTGGTAAATCCTATTAAAATGAGCTGTCTTTAAATGCTGAGGTGTCTTTCTAAACTGTGTCCTTACTAAAACAGGTGCTGGGATATTAATGTAATAAAATCTCCTAAATTTCAGCCTGGAGACAAAACCAGAAAAGAAAAGAAAAAAAAAAAGCTCAGGAACAGCTAATACAATATTCAATATTGATCTTTGTGTTTGAGTATCCCAAGGCTTCCCAGGATATCTGGAGCCTTCAGCACTGGCTGAGATTAAGAGGAATTGCCCTCCCAGCAGCTCTGAAAGCTCAGGCTGGACATGCACTACCCTGACTCCTGCACCCAGAAATACCCAGCCTAAGCCCCTGAACCAGCTCAGCCCTGTAGTTTGACCCTGCAACAGGAAAAAACCCTTTATTTCCACATTTTTGTTGGACTCAGCAGAGCCTTGAGCTGTCCCAGAGCCCAGGGCTCCTCACTGCCCGTGCAGGAATTGGGCCTTTCCCGTCCTGCACTCACACCCTGACTCCAGGAGCCCTTGTTTACAGAGGCCAGATGGCTCCTGCCAGTGGCCATTGTGCCCTTCCTGGGGCATAACTGGGATAACCAGGAGGGATTTTTTAGTTTCCCCTCGTTTACAAGCAGAGTTTCCAAACGGACACAGCTCCGGGTGCAGCAGCGGCCGAGGGTCAACACCGAGGTGTTGGCTCTGAGCTGGAAGGGAGGCTCTACCAAGGATTTTTCCATGGTTGCTGATGGATGAGGGGAGGAGCTGGGTGTGATTCTGGTTTTGGGACTCAGGCTGAGGGGCTTAGGAAGTGCAAAGAATGGATATTTCCTGGCACAGCCTGTGGCTCTGCAGGTGACGGTGCAGAAAGCCTGCAAGGCCTCCGTGTCCTACTCAGGGGGAGAACTTTGCCTTCTGATTTATTTTATTTTAGAGACCTACTCAGAAACTCTCACAGTCCAAACCTACAGGAACTCACACAATAGCAGGAAAATACAAGTGCACTTGCACAAACTCCAGCACTGAACTCGCTCAGGAATCAAATGCCACCTAAAGTCAGGCCCCGAGGATTAAAGGATGTTTCCATCAGGTTATGCAAAGATTTTCTCTTTATCCTGTGTTACTTAAGGCTGGGCAGTCTTCCCAAATCATGTTCAGAAGCAGAGCCCCCTCCCCTGTGATTTTTCCAAAGTATTTAGTGTTTTCAGGTGCCCAGCATGACATAGTCCAATTAATCCTGATTTTCAGAGCCCTCTAAGCACCCACCTCTCACAACCACTCCCTTTCAAAGTGTCTCAAACACAAATACAAGGCATCCAAAATTGCTGACTTCTTCTGAAAATCCAGAACTATGATGAACAGTCCCCCTACAAGATTTCAGCCAGCCCAGGTGAAAATTGCATGGATTCAAGCCCCCCAAAATGAGGAGGAATAGTCAGTTCCTGCTCTCGTAGGATGACAATGCACCCAGCCATTAGAGCAGAGTTTCTCTTAAAAAGAAGGAGACAATTGCACCATTCCCAGCAAGAACAAGTGCAAATCTTTCCAGTCCAGCTCACAAAATTATTGATGTTGTGGTCTGTAATTCTGGCTGATCAAATATTCCGTTGTTCTGCCTTGCCAGTCAAATGTTTGTGGAGGAACCAATGCCATGGAGTGATGGAAAATATTTCCTGAGTTCCTCCCCTCAGACAAGGTGTCCCTGTCTGTAAAAAAGGGCTCAGTGCTTTGCAGGCTCATGGATTTAGCAGGAGCAATGGGAATTTCCCTGGAGCAAGGAGAGCAAAGGCCAGTTCAGACAAGTCTTCTCTGAACCGGGAAAGAGCCTCATAGCCTGGAATGTTTAATGAGCTTATTGGTTACAGCTCAAATGTGTTGTTTGGATTTGCTCAGAGGTAATTTATAACCTGAAAGCTGAGGGGACAGAGGGGACAGGAGGACAGTTTCCCCTGCTGCCATGGCCAGGGGCACTGCTGGATGCAGATCCCACCAGGAGCAGGGAGCAGGAGCAGAGCTGTGCCCTCGCAGCTCTGGGAATCACCTGGTTCTGGATGTTCCCAGCTCAGCCTGGTGACAGGAACAAAGACACACCTGGGAGAGGACAGGACTTCTCCTGCTCTGGCTCTGGGAAAAGGTGAGCTGGGAAAAGCCCTGGTTTGAGCAGCTCCTCCTCAGGGAACGGCCCTGCCCGAGGCACAGCGAGAGCCGAGAAACAAACCAGCAAAAGGCAACAGTTTGGCTCATTTTTGCAACCCTAATCTTAAACCTAAACCCACTCCTAAGTCAGGCACCTCAGATCCCTTGTCTGGAAAGATGGACATTGTGTCCTCCTTTTCCAGGGTACCAGAAAACCAAATCCAGTGATATCTGTAAAGCTCTGAAGACCCGAGAGCAAATGGAACCAGAGAACAGAAAAAGGTGATTATCCAGTCAGGTTTGGCCTGGGAGGAAGATTATCCACCTATCTTGCCAGACCTATTTATCATCTTATTTTCTCCTGGCTTAGCTTTTATCACCTTTCTAATCCTCCCCATCTAATTCAGACAACATTTTATTTTAGCACTTCTCAGCACACGCTGACAAAGGTGTGTTTGGAGCTCTGGGCAGGTTTTTTGTGACCCAGTTGAGGGGTTGCAAAGGTGGGTGGAACAATAGTTGCCAGCTAATGAGTTCACAACTTTGAAAAATAAATTAGCTGATTTTTTTTTTTTCCCTAGAAGAGAGGCATTTTGTTTTTCTGCTGGTCTGTCGATGAGGGAATGGATCTGGAAGAACTCCTTTTCCTGAATTTCGGCAGAAAGGAGTTGTTCTGTGTAACATACACTGATCTAAACGTGTATCTATTTATCTATATGTTGTATTCTCTGTGATGTGTGTGTTTGACATACACAAAATGGGGATTTAAGTGGATGTGGTGCCTGAAATAGGTTTCTGGGATGGGAAGTGCTGGGATGCACCACTTGAGTCAAGCAGGACTCGAAGATAAATTGAAGGTGATGATGTTTTTCAGGTCCTGCTCATGATTTGGCCGAACCAAACAATGAAGTTCCAGGGCTTCCAGTCCCTCACAGGGTTCAACAACCAAATCCCAACCAGCCCCCTGCATTTTCCCTTTTCACCCATAACCAAATGGCATTTCCTCCCCCCTTTTGCTGGTGAATAAATCAAGGGCTAAACTTTATCATCCCCGGAGCTGTTTCCTGGAATAGCTGCAAGCGGAGCGCTCGGTGAGGGACAGCCAGGAGGCTGGCAGAGATGATTACCTTCAGGCAGCCTCCGTGGAACCTCCCAGGGTTCCTACAGGCACAGCCTAATGCAGGGCTTAGGATGCTGAACAGCCTCCCATTACAGGGCCGGCCATCTCGGCTCCTCCACGCCGAGAGAGCTCCTTGTTAACATGCACACCGGCGGCTCCGCGGCACAGCGGCGCAGTCGGGGCTCATTAAGGGCAAAATCATTCCAAGGGACGTGGTTTCAGAGAGGAAAGAATTGAATTTCTCTCCGGGTTGGGGGTGAGTCGAGCAGAGCCTGGAGGTTTGGCTCAGGGTCGTGCCGGGAGCTGTCGCAGCCGGAGCTGTGGTGGGGTCACTTCGAGATGCACCCGCAGCACCCATGAGGGGCATGGTAAAATAAATCTGGGGTAAAGGGGTGGATTTAAAGCCTCTGGGAAGAGCAGCTGAGGGGGGAATTGCTCAGGTTCCTGCCACTGCTGAGGGAGGGTCCCTGCCCAGGCCAGCGGTGGCAGAGCAGCCGGGCTGGTTCTGCTCACGCTGCTCCAGACCTGCAAAGCTTTTGAGACCACAAAGGGCTGCTGTGACAAGGAGATCTCAGTCCACTTTAATCAGCAGGTACTAGAAACCCCAAAGAATTATCATTAATTGATACAAATGAGTTGCTGCACAGCTCAAGTGTCAACTTTCTCTTATTGTTTACCAGGCACTGGAACACACAAGATGTCTAATTAGTCATACACTGCAAAAAACCATCTTATTAGCGGGTCCAAGAGGGGAAGGACTAAAAAGCAACAAGGATGAAGCTATCAGGCATCACAGTTTGATTTCTTGTCCTGCATGAAGTGTTCTGGTAGCTCTCATCTCCCACATGTGCCACCACTCCTCAGGAATAACTCTGATGCCTGTTCATTCAAAGCTCGGCTCTATTTTAAAAATCTACTCTCTCTGAAAGGGCTGTCTTTAAAAAAAACCAAAAAATTGTACAGGAAAAGGGACAAAATTGCTCCTCAACAAAGGGGCCTATCAACAGCCTGTCAATAATGTGCCAAAGGCCAGAACCTGCCTTTCAAAGAGGCTCTGAAGCCTCGACGTGTACTTTGAGAGCAATTAAGGGATGTGAGCAACATGATTATTATCTCATGGGTGACATTTTCATCGGCTCTTTGGGAAAAGGGAGAGATGGGCTCGAGATGGCTGTGATCAATGTTCACCCCAGGCCCACAGAAAGGGCAGGAGAACATGTGGTAGATGGGCCTGGAAAGCAAAATGCACAAGGGAAGGAAGGGGGGAGGAAGAGGTGATGGAGACAGAAGGATTTTAAATCTTGGAAGCTGAAAGGATGAGTTACATGAGGAGGAGATGGAGAGGACCTGAGAAATGAGAGTGGGAATGTCAGGAGGGCTGGGAAGGGCAGGAGGGCAGGAGTAGGAGAGGAAGGGACTGGGATAAGTGCAGGAAGAAGAGGGGAAGGATTCCAAGAGAGGAGAAAGCCCAGAGAAAGAGTTCCAAACACAGGGAGAAGTCCCTTGTGGGCACATCACTGTGCCTCTTCCTTTTCCCATCCCAGCCGCTGTGCCATCCACCTTCTCATTTTTGGGGTCACAGCTGCACCCAGAGCCCAAGGAAGGAGAGACAGAACATGAGGAGAGATGAAGGATGTCTTAGGGCTGACGTGCCTTTAGGATCACTCTGCTCCTTCCCCAGCATCCTGGATATTCATTAGGGTTGGAAAAGATCTCTAAACTCACTGAGTCCAACCATGAACCATTCCATCAGTGTTGTCCACCCATCCTTCCTTTATCCCTCCTGTCTTCATGCTGCAGGTGCCAGGAAAGCCCCGGGACAGACGGGAGCGCGAGCGGTGCCGGAGGGACACGAGTGGGAGCAGGGACAGGGCTGCAGGTGAGACCCTCAACCACTGTGTGGGGCCCAACACTTGGGATAACGCCCGAGGGATGAGAGGAGCCTGGACACTAACCCAGGAACAGCAGCTGGCTCAGTGCAGGGATGCAGAGGAGCTCAGCCCTGACTATCCCAGGGCCCACACGGTGCTGCCCTTGGCCACGGGCTCTGCAGGAGCCAGACAGATGTTGGACGTGCCCAGCTGTTCTGGGGCTGGGCAAGATGCAAAACACATCTGCAAAAATGCAGATTTGCCTACAGCGTTTGCCCAATTTGCTGAATTGCTTGTTTAGGGGAAACAAACTTCATTTTGGCAGGAGAAAAACGTCGCTTAATTTGCTATAAAACGAAACTCCTTCCCGCGTTTCGTTTCGGGGAAAAATTAGAAATGTCAATGTTGAGCAAAAGAAATGATTTTTTAAAATATTTGGAGATTTTTCCCTGTCCCAAAAGATCCTGTTATATTCCCAGCTCCTCTCTGCATGTATCCAAATTTCTGTGTGCATCTCCACACTCACATCCCGGGCAAACAATTCCAAGCAGCTCCACCAGCCATCAGCTGCTCTGCATTCTCCAGGATTAGCCTTTTGAAGAGGATCTTAATAATCAAAATTATGCTATGTTACCAGTTAAACACTGGGAATAATTCCTCCATCACAGGCAAGCTGTGCTGAAGCCAGGAATGGACTGACAGAGGAATCCCCAGGGCCTCAGCAGGATGCATTAACAGTGTGTCTCTCTGGTGAGCCGTGATGGGAAGAGCACGGAGCAAAAAAGAAGGTAAAGTGGTTCAAAACAACTTGTATTTTCAGAGCCCAGTCTCCCACAGAAATCTTGGGAGATGCTGAGCTCTCCACTTCTTGTTTTGCAAGCAGAAATAACGGCTTAGGAGCCCAGCTGAGACCCCTGGGTTTTACATTTTCTACACTATTTTTCTCCAGCCTCGTTTGCTCTCCTGCTAATTAATCCAGCTAATGGCTGGGTGGTTTTTTGTAACTTCAGCAGCAGTTTCTCCTTTTGTTAACACGAGCAGGGAGAACACGAAGAGCAGGTCTCTCGAAGGATCCAGGCTGACAGCAATATTGCCATCTGAGTGAAGAGAACTCAGACACACATAATCCTCGGGAAAATTCATCTCCACCCTCCCGCAGACCCCGGTGAGAGCCCTTGAAGTGGTAATTAAAGTCTATTGAGTGGCAACTGCACCTGTTTAGAGAGGAGAGCGCGGGTAAGAGGTGCACAAAGGGAGATGAGCAGCACGGGGAGAGGAGCTGCTGGAGGTGGGGAGGAAGGGAGGTGGAAAGAAGGGATGAAAAAAAGAAAAAAGTGTTTGTTGGTTTGCTGAAGTCGATCCGAGCCGATGTGCATTTCCATCCTGCCCTTGATTTGCTCCCTGTGCCCCCTCAGCTCTCACCAGGCTCCCTCCCCGCTCTCACACCCGCTGATGGAAACTCCAGGGGGTTTTCCCCGCCAGCCCCGGCTCTGGTGGTGTAAATCAGCAGAGTTCCACCAAAGTCCTCGAGGACTCAGAGCAGCCCCAGCTCATTCACACCAGTGGCTGCAGACCCGTCCCAGGGAGGCTCATTAGCAGCCCCCCGGCTCCTGGGCTGGCACAGGGATGTGCCAGCGCTTGTCCCTCTGCCCTGGGAGAGAGCACATCCCTCTGTGACAGCCTGAGCCCCCCACTGCAAACCCTACAGCAGCCAGGGCAGGGAATCAGAGGTGTTTCTGGCTTTCTGGCTGAGAGCAGAGGGAGGTGGAAGGGGCTGGAGTGGGGCAATGCCACGTTCCACACCTGCTGGGATTCCTACATCTGTGGCTCCCAAATGTTCTGAGCCAGCGTCACCTCAGCATTCCCAAGGTCTGCAGGTGAAGCCAAGCAAAATGGATTTATTCATAAATTTTTGTTCGTGGATTTTTCCAAGGGCCTGGAAGGACAGGACAAGGAGGAATGGCTTCCTACTGCCAGAGGGCAGGGTTAGATGGGATACTGGGAAGGAATTCTTCCCTGAGAGGGTGGTGAGGCCCTGGCACAGGTTGCCCAGAGTAGCTGTGGCTGCCCCATCCCTGGAAGTGTCCAAGGCCAGGTTGGATGGGGCTTGGAGCAACCTGGGATAGTGGAAGGTGTCCCTGCCCATGGCAGGGGGTGGCACTGGATGATCTCTAAGTTCTCTCCCAACCCAAGCCATTCTGGGATTCCATGATAAGCAACACTGGTAGCTGTGGATTTTTCCATGCCCTTGCAGCCCCCCACTGACCCAAGGACCACCCTCACTGCTGTGGCCAGTGAATTGACACTTTCCAGTCAGACTTGGTGGCCAAATTCTGTGGTACCACAGGGACAGAGCCCTTCTGGCACCTTCAACCCACCAGTGCTGACTGGGGCCACCAGATCACCACCTGTTGTTTTGCTAATGGCACAACCCAGCAGGTGAAGTGGGAATAGAGTGGAATCTGGACTGCCCTGGAATCAGGGAGCCAGAGACCAGCACTGCAGAGCGATCCACATGCAGTGTCCAGGGAAATGGTCATCCTGAGACCCACGGATTGATCACAGAATTCCTGGCTCCTTCTGCCACAATCGCAGTGTGATGTTGGATGGCAGCAAACAGGGCCCTGTGCTGTTTGTCCTACAGATGAGGCTATAAAATCTTAATCAAAGACACCTCCCTAGGGTTTTTTTTTGGTAGAATAATCACCCCTCACACTTTACATGTGCAGTACAGACACCCACTCATTTAACCCCTTTGTCCAACCCCCAAATCCCTCGGTTTTGGTGGCACCAGAACAGTAATAAAAGCGTTGTCCTTGCCACTGCAATTCCATGTGTGCCCCAGCAGCCAGCTGGGCTAAACCAGGATTCCTGGGGTGGGAGCAGGAGAGGAATGAGGTTCACCCCAAGAGCACCCCGAGGCTGAGCTGAGCAAACGAGTCAGGCAGAAGGATTCGACTGGTGTTGGCAAATTTTTCTCTCTCACTGGATTCGGCGGCAGCCGGTCCCCTGTGAGTCCCTGACCTTCACACTCCACAGGCTGCCTGGGATGGCTGACAGAAACCACAGGAGCTTTCTCCCTGTTCCTGATTGTCAGGGCACACAACAATTCAGGTGTGAAAGTTGTTGCATCTGCTCTGGACAAATCCTGTCAGCAGCACCTCTGGAGCGTGCCAGCGTGCCCAAGGCTGTGCCAGGACATGCCTCTGTGTGAACGGAGATGGAGGGGGACACACACTCAGAGAGCCACAGAATCCCAGGATGCTTTGGCTTGGAAAGGACCTTAAAGCTGCTTTCATTCCACCCCCCTGCCATGGCCAGGGACACCTTCCACTAGATCAGGTTGCTCCAAGCCCCGGCCGACCCGGCCTTGAAAAAGCCAATTCCTTTGGCTGTTCCAGGTGGGATTTACAATTATTTGTGTGTCTGAGCCAACCATTTGGCTACAATTTATGAAGGCTGGCAAACATCCCTGGACAACAGGTCAACCTGCCAGTCCTGCCTTGGGATGAGAGGAATATTTGTGCTGACTGCAGAGGGAGCCTGCATGACTCACCTAACACTAAAAGCCCAACTGCCAAAGAATCATCCCTAAAATACCCTCCTTGCCTCCTAAATCCTACTCTTGTGCATTAGCCAACTCATTGGGTAGGTGGGTACCATGTGATATCTTGCCTCATTTCTACCTTTTTACTCCCAAACACTCCTCTCTCATTTCTCCCTCTCAGCTCTCCAGTCCCTCTGCCTTTCTCTCTCTCCACCTTCCCTCTGATTGCCGAGCAGCTTTTTGACTTTTCCATCAATAAGTCTAAAGAGCATTTGAAGCGCTCTGAAGGCCCTTTCCTCCTCCCTCCCAGTTCCAAGTCAGGCGAGCTCATCGATCAGAGGAGCTCAGGAAATATCTGGTGTTTTGTTGTCAGGCTGATAATAACATTGCAGTTGTGAATGGGCTGCTGCAGGCCTGATCATGGACACCTGCAGGGTTTGTTTAATTGCATTTAATGACAAATCCTATACAGAGGAGCATTGCCAGAGAGATTTATTATCCACCAAAGAGGCAAAGCACAACAGCTCAAAATATAATTTGCACTGAGCCTTTTTCCCCCTGCCTCTCTTTAAAGCAGTGTAATAAATGGCAAATCGGGTAAAGTGGGCACCACGGGTCTGGGGAGGAGGTGGGGGCAGAGGACAGAGATTGAAACCAAAGGAAATAACAGCAATAAGGCCACATTGTTCTCTCTGCCATCCCTGTGGTCTGGTCTGGAGGAAACACTGTTTGTTTAATTTACAGCCTGGAAGTGCAGCTGGGGATCTCTCGGAGATGAGCCTGTTCTGGCACAGCTGGGGGCCAAAAGTCCCCGCTCCTTCCAACCAGGCTTTTTCCCCCCGTGTTCTGCAGCTAAGTTGAGCTCCCATCCATACAAACAATTACCAAGGAACTCCAGCAGCCTCCCAGCTGCCACTGGTACGAGGAGCCGGGAGCTTCCACGTCCCTGAAATCTCTGGGACAAAGCAGAGGTGTCCTGAAAAATATCACGGTGAGAAATACGGCCCCACGGAGACAGGTCCCACGAGCTGGAGTCTAGACATTGCACGACTCTGAGCCTGGAATTTATGCTTCCTACTAAATACCCTGCTCTTAAAAGGGAATGGCTGAGTGTAAAACCACAAGAAGAGTTCAGGTCTCGCTCATACTTCTTTTGTCTTGATTTTTATGTGATTTTCTAGCAATGATTTGTGGTAAATCCCTTCCTGCAGCTGGTGTGTCACTGTGCAGTGTCACTCCAGAACGAGGACTGAAAAGTGTCCTTGTCACCTGAAATTACAGTCCAGGTTAGCACTTCCCAAACTGTCTCCTCTCTCTCCAGTTCATCCATCTGTACAATTCCTCCTCTCTCCTAATTAGCCTGGGCAGAAGAGTGAATTGTCCTGAATTTTTATTTCTAAATGGTCTCACTCCCCAAATGTTTTCGCTAGAGACTTCTCTGTGGGAGGGCAGAGAGGAAAATGTGTGATGGTTTAAGTGAAATTCTTCAGTTTAGGACATCCAAGAGTGATCTTATATTCAGTGTGAAGCTCACTTGATATTCAGATTAGGATCATGGAATATCCTGAGTTGGAAGGGACCCACAAGGATCATCCAAGTCCAACTCCTGGTTAAAATTTTCCCTTTCAATGGTGCACCCCGAGAAGTTTGGGGGTGATGGGGATCCTGTACAAGAACACCCCCCTCTGCAGTGCTGCTCTGAGGCTCAGTGCAGGCAGCAGTTGGTACTGTCCTTACACAAACACGGTGTTGGGTAACACCTGGACCCAGTTTTATCTGATTTCCTGGACAATGGTGGTATCACTAATGCTCCCTGTTAAATAAGACCACCTGGACATCTCCTGGTATCAGCTCCAGTTATCACAAACACTCTTGCTACCTAGGCCAGCACAAAGGACTCTTATCTCCAGAGCAGCACAAATCCCCTGACTGAAACAACCCATCTGGAGTTTGATTAAAGTGCCCATAGAAAGCACATATGTTAAAGAAAAAAAGGGAGGGAGGAAGGGAGGGATGGGGCTGCTCTCTGTGAGCTCACACAGGGCACAACCCCTGTCAGCAGCAGGAAACCCTCTCCTGTTGCTCCACACTCTTTCTCCTCCCATGAAAGGAGCAGCAGCTCCTGAGGGATAGTTTTTGTTTCTTTCCCTTTCATTTTTTTTTTTTTTTTGTGCCACCTGCTTACAGAAGTACATCTAACAGGCTTGGTGAAGATGGGAAGGATGCTGTTCCCTGCCTGGTTTCAGTGGCTGAGGTAAGTAAGCCTCACTCAGACAGGGAATAAAGTCTGATCCTTTCCATGGATGTGAGCCAGCATTGTCCTTTCACACCTGAGCCGTGCCATATGTGAGGTATTAACAGAGGAGAGCTGGGGAGTGGAAGCAAAGCTGGACCTGGGGTGAACTAAAGCTTGCTCATCAACAAATCCAGGGAAAGGAAACAGCAAAAGGGGTTTGTTTTTCTTGCTTAAATCAGCCTCTCAGTGGGATTCCAGGAAACTCAGCACTATCATTATCTTTTCTTTTGCTGAGTCCTTTTCTCCAGCCTTCCCCAGTATACATTGCATTTGCTTATTTTAGTCAACTGAAACATAACCAGGAGACAGACAGGTTGACAGAGCACTCCTGGAGAAGTTTTATCACAGGGTAAGGAAAGAGGAGCCCCTGCTGAGCCCTGATGTCCCCGTAGAGCCTCCGGGAGTGAGAAAATGGAGCAGAAACTCACGGGAACAGCCACAAATTGGAGAGATGATTGCAGGGAGGTTTGCCACGGTCTCATGAGGAACTCTGCGAAGAGCAGCATCCATCCCTGAAAGGAGAGGCAAGAACAAGAATTAAAGGCTGATAAAACTGAGGAAGGAAAGCAGGAGAAGACGTGCAGGAGGACATCCCTGAGGAGGGAGCGCTGCTCTCCTGGCCTGGCTCTGTGTGGAAGACTAGTGATTTTGTTGTTCTGTTTATAAAGGTGACAACAAATCATAGCCTGCCATACAGCCCAGGCTGCCACGGCCCAGAGACCCCGAGAGCCCTGGACCTGAGAGCTGGCTGTGTCTGGAAGTGCTTTGGAGGTCAGGACGTGCCTTGTTCTGCTCCTTATCCCATCCTCTTAAAGTCAAGCAAGTCTGGGCTCTGAGAGAAGCAAAGGGAGATGCACCCGAGAAGAACCAAGCTCATCCTGCAAACCTGGCACTCCCCTGCCTCCCTTCAACACAGTTTCACTGGAAATCAGCCGTCAGGAGGGGAAGTGTCTCCCTGAAAGCCCCCCCAACACACCAGTGCAGGGTCAGGGCCCTGCTGGGCACTCTGGCACTGCTGGGACCTCGATGCCTGGCAGGGGTTGTTTGGAGAGTGGAGCCCTTTGCTTCCAGCAGGGCTTCAAAATATAAAAAGAACAGATTTTCAACACCACTCAGAGCCTCTATTCTCAAAGGTATTCAGGTGTGAAAATGAAACTCCTGAATCCTGTCAAGGCCAGTGGTAAAACTACTGAAATGTCTTTAATAATTTGGGTTGTTGGTGCTGTTGAGCACTTTCTTTTTCTCTTTCTTTTTTTAACCAACCCAGGATATGCTCAGCACTGTCCACATCACTGGTACAATGGAATATGTGATTTAGGAATCACAGAACCCCAGAATGATTTGGGTTGGGAGAGACCTTAAAGGTGATCCAGTCCCACCCCCTGCCATGGGCAGGGACACCTTCCACTAGCCCAGGTTGCTCCAACCTGGCCTTGGACACTTCCAGGGGTGGGGCAGCCACAAATCTCTTGCCAAAAGAATTTTAAACCACTACAAATCCCTGTCCTTCGCTGGTGCCTGAAAGAAAAGATCCACATTTCATAAGCCAGAACGTCTCACTCTCCCCCTCCCTTTTACTCCCCCACTGACAGATTAAATCCACACCAAATTCCAAGGGCAGCAGTGCAGCCATTAATGCTGGAATGGCTGGGCTGGTGTCTGATGTAAATGAAACTCCACTGATTTAGTGTTCCCCAACAAGCCTCTCTGGTGTGTTCATCCTCTGCAGTCTGATCAAAATCCTCCCTTCCAGGTACCCGTGGCCTCGTGCCCCACATAACCACAGCAAATAATGTCATCACAGCCCTAATGGGGAAGGCAGTTATAGGACAAAAACCCCTGCAGCAAGTTGGGGATTGGGTCATCGTTCCTCTTAATGTCATGGTGCCATTTCTCCCTATTTTTAGAATTGTTCCCTTTGTACAGCAAATTGCTCAACTATAGAGAAAATCTCATCTTCATCGGCTCTCGTAGCAAGGAAGCATCTTCCCTCAGCTTCTGGAAATCACACAAACCCCTAAAAGCTGAAGAGATGGATAAAACCTGGGTACACAGCTGCCTGCAAACCTCAGTTTAAACTGAAAAAAACCCCAAGGAGCTGCTGCAGCCACAGACTGAGCACAAAGACCTCGCAGGAAATTCTGCAGGTGTCTAAATTACCCACTCGCCCCTTCAGAAGTAACTCAGGGATTCAATAAATCGGCCTGGCCTCTGTTCCTAAATTATTTCGATGCTTTTGGAACTCTTAGCACAGTTCTAAACTCCTCCACATTAGGAATTCTCGTGTAAGAATGTTCCCAATCACATATCCCAGCCCTTTATTTGTTATCCACGTTGCATTTTGTGGTGCCCCAGACTCCTCGGCACGGATTGAAGCTCTTTGGCTTTGGTTGCCCTCAAAGAAGAGAAAACACAAGCTGTAAATTCTGACTTTGCAGCCTAAATAAGCCAGACAGAGCAAGAGCAGTTATTATTGCCATGTTATTGGCAGGGAATTGAGACACAGGAAGATTAAGTGACTGGCCCAAGGTCACCAAAGAAGCCTCTAGCAAGGGTGAGGGCTCAGCCTGGATTTCAGAAGTCTCTGCCCAGTACTTTAGCCATCCATTCACTTGCTTTTTAAGTACCCTGTCATTATTTCCATGAGGAAAATTATGCTACTCCTGGAGAAGCCAGCACCGTGTAATTCAGCTTGTCTGAAAGGGAATATGAAATGGCAGCTTCAAAAAAAATTAACCCTCCTGCCACACAACCTGGCAGCCCTGTCAAAACGGCTCATTTTTTTACCTGCTCTTCCTCCCCTGAGTATTTAACTCCCCTCTCTATTCCCAGAACTCTGGATTGAGGCTCTGTGTGTGTCACCCCACAAATCCTTTGGGCTCCCTGGGGCCCTGTGAGGGCTGTGGGCTGTACAGGAGGGACGTGGTGGCTTTGAGACACTCTCAGATGGGTGTTACTGATCCTTTATTCCCAGTTGTTGTGCCAGTGGAAGTGGGAGCTGCACCACTGCTGCTGATCTGGTTCAGCAGACACCCTCCAGCTTTGGGACACAGGCTGGGAGAGCTGGGGGGGTTCACCTGGAGAAGGGAAGGCTCCAGGGAGGCCTGAGAGCCCCTTGCAGGGCCTAAAGGGGCTCCAGGAGAGCAGGAGAGGGACCTGGGACAAGGGATGGACGGACAGATCACAGGGAATGGCTTCAAACCGAAAGAGGGGAAATTTAGATGGGATACTGGGAAGGAATTCCTCCCTGGGAGGGTGGGGAGGCCCTGGCACAGGTTGCCCAGAGAAGCTGTGGCTGCCCCATCCCTGGAAGTCTCCAAGGCCAGGTTGGAGCAACCTGGTCTAGTGGAAGGTGTCCCTGCCCATGGCAGGGGATGGAACTGGATGGGCTTTAAGGTCCTTTCCAACCCAATCCATTCTGTGACTCCATGGTTCTGATCCTGTGTGATGTCTCCCTCCCTTGGTGCCCTGGTTTGGGACACTTTTGGTGGTGACCTCACCAAGAGAAGCCACAGGACGCAGGAGAACCGAGGTGACAAAGTGACTCTGGTTTCTGCCACAGTCAAAATCCTGCCCCAGACCTTTGAGGGTGATGCAGGTACAGCCCCTCCACCCCCACCTCCAGCTCTCTGTGACTCCCCAGACAGAATTATCCAGGTACACCCGGGCTGGGACCAAGGTCCTGAGGCCCCAGTACATTCCATATTCAGAGATCCACAGGGAGAGGCTTTTGTGACCCTTCTCCTCATGCTCTTTATTCCCTCATTACTAAGCAATTTATTGATGGAAAAAAACATTTCCATCAGCTGCACTTTAAGCCACTCTGAGCCCACCCCAGAACGAGGGGCAGGTTCTGAGGTGGATTTGGGACCTAAAAAGCCTTCGTGGTGTTCAGGTGAATCCCTAATGGATTCTATGGAGGGGAAATTAATAGGAAGCTTTGGTTAATAGATACTTCAGATAAAAGAGCGAGTGCATCTGGTCACCATGGCAACACGAGGAGCCAGCGGGGAGAGGAAATGTCACCGTGTCTGTGCCTTGACCTGCAGCACAAACAGCCTCAAAGCTGGGGAGGGGGTTTGCACGTGGATGTTCCCAGTGGGGACAGAGGGACAGCTTGGATATTCACACCCAGGGAGCTGCTGCACACAGACACACAGCAAGGTTCTCAGGGCAGTGTAACATGGACCCAGTGTGCCCAAACCACTGTTTAGGTGTGAAAACACAATGAATTTGTGCCCAGAGTTGTGTATTCGCACCTCAGAGGGATAGGGAATGATTCCAGGTATTCCAGCACACACAGAGGAGTGGCTGAGGAAGCTGGGGGGGCTCAGCCTGGAGAAAAGGAGGCTCAGAGGGGACCTTTTCCCTCTCTGCAACTCCCTGACAGGAGGAGGGAGTCAGGAGGGGGTCGGGCTCTGCTCCCAGGGAACAAGGGGCAGGATGAGAGGAAACGGCCTCAAGTTGTGCCAGGGGAGGTTTAGGTTGGATATTAGGGAAAATTTCTTCACTGAAAGGGTTGTTAAGCTCTGGAAGGGGCTGCCCAGGGCAGTGGTGGAGTCCCCATTCCTGGAGGGATTTAAAAGCCATGTGGATGTGGCACTTGGGGACACGGATTAGTGGTGGCCTTGGCAGTGCTGGGGGAATGGTTGGACTCGATCCTGGAGGGCTTTTCCAACCTAAATGATCCTGTAATTCCTCCTGTCCCGATGTGCAGGAAGCTCCCCTTGCACAACACGGACACACCGGAGGTGTCACTGAACCACAGAACCGTGGAATGGTTTGGTTTGGAAAGGACCTTAAAGCTCATCCAGTTCCACCCCCTGCCATGGGCAGGGACACCTTCCACTATTCCAGGTTGCTCCAAAGCCCCATCCAACCCGGCCTTGGAGACTTCCAGGGATGGGGCAGCCACAGCTTCTCTGGGCAACCTGTGCCAGGGCCTCCCCACCCTCCCAGGGAAGAATCCCTGAGCACACTCAGACCTCGTGTGGGAATTCTGCCACGGACACTCCGGCTCTGGCTCCCAGGAGCACCTGCTGCTCCCTGGTGACTTTTTAGCAGCTGCTGAAGTGAAAACTGGGCTCAACAGTGCCTGTTATGCAAAAGCAGTTTCTTAGCAACAAAAGTGATATTCAGTGCGAAGGCAACAGGCATTAGTGGGATAATCCACAGTAATTCCAGACAAGACCTAAAATGGGTGGATGGACTGAATAATAATCATGACAGACGGAATAATAATAATGGAAATAATGAGACTAATCTTATTTTCCCGGAAAGGAGAAAAACAGCTATAAATAAAATACAGCGGGAGAAACCCCATGCCGATTCCCTGTATAAAGATTAGAGACACTTAAACTCTATTTATGCCCTAAAAATAGGCTCTGGTGAGTAAAGCTTTGCTCATCTAAGCTGGGCTATTTATTGCTCGAGTGTTTTCCCTCGCTCCAGGACGGAGGGAACTGGACAGAACGTCCTGTGAAGGGGATTTGAGGGAACAAATCCGTGTTTGCTGTTGGAGACGAGGCTTTGCCACCTCCATAGCAAAAAGTTGCACCTTAAAACGCTCCATCAGATCTGTCGCAACAACGGGGTCGCACTGGATGATCCCTGAGGGTCCGTTCCCGTTCCAGCTCAGGATATTCTGATCCCACAGAACACAAGGGGTTCCCTGCAATTAAACCACGTTAGATTAACGCTGTGTAAGACGCTGTGTCTTGAAGTTCAACAACATCAAGGAATTTAATATAAATAAAACCGGCATTAAACGTACACAGGCTGTGAATTATAAAGGCATTTGTACGGCACCCGCTCCTCACGCATCGGCCCGCGCGAGGCGCGCTGGGAAATGTAGTCCGGACTCCGGCACGGCCCGCTTGGCGGCGCTGGCTGCTGGGCGCTGGAACTACAATTCCCAGCATGCCTCGCGCGAGGCGGGTTGCGCGCCCTGCCCACTGCCCGCTCCCGTGCTGCCTGCTGGGAAACCGAGTGCGCGCTGCGCGGGACCGTGCGGGACGCGCCTCTCTCGGGACTACATTTCCCATCATCCTCCGCGCGGCGCGCCCCGCCCCGCGCGGCGCCATTTTGTTCCTTGGCGCAGCCTGAGATGGCGGTCGGGCCCGGGCGGTGAAGGTCCCGCCGTGCTGAGGGCAGGGGGGTCTCGCCGCCCCCCGCCCGCCCCGCGCCGCGCTGGGGCCGCGCCGGAGCCGCCGGTCCATGGCCAGGACGCGGCCCCCGGCGCCATGGACCTGCGCACGGCCGTGTACAACGCGGCCCGCGACGGGAAGCTGAAGCTGCTGCAGAAGCTCCTGGGCAGCCGCAGCCGTGAGGAGCTGGAGGCGCTGACGGCGGGGCCCGGCGGCGGCGGCGGCGGCCCCGGGGCGGGCAGCACCCCGTTGCTGATCGCGGCGCGGCACGGGCACCTGGAGGTGGTGGAGTACCTGCTGGATCACTGCGGGGCCCGCGTGGAGGAGGGCGGCTCCGTCAGCTTCGACGGCGAGACCATCGAGGGGGCCCCGCCGCTGTGGGCGGCCTCGGCCGCCGGGCACCTGGGGGTGGTGCGGAGCCTCCTGGACCACGGCGCCTCGGTGAACCAGACCACGCTGACCAACTCCACCCCGCTGCGGGCCGCCTGCTTCGATGGGCACCTGGAGATCGTGCGGTACCTGGTGGGCGAGCGCGGGGCCGACCTGGAGGTGGCCAACCGGCACGGGCACACGTGCTTGATGATTTCGTGCTACAAAGGGCACCGGGAGATCGCCCGCTACTTGCTGGAGAAAGGGGCCGACGTGAACCGGCGCAGCGTGAAGGGGAACACGGCCCTGCACGACTGCGCCGAGTCCGGCAGCCTGGAGATCCTGCAGCTCCTGCTCCGCTCCAAGGCCCGCATGGAGAAGGACGGCTATGGAATGACCCCCCTGCTCGCCGCCAGCGTCACCGGCCACACCAACATCGTGGAGTACCTCATCCAGGGGGGGCTGCAGCAGGAGGAGGCTGCGGGGAGCCAGAGCGGGACCTGCGCCTCGGGCGGGAGCCATCAGAGGGGCTGTGGCGCCAGCAAGGAGACTCAGGGCTGCCAGGAAGAGGGGGGTGAGGGATGCGGTGCCTCGGCTTCCAGCCAGGACGAGGTCCCGACCGTGTTCTGCACTCGAGAGGCGGCTGTGGAAGCGCTGGAGCTGCTGGGTGCCACGTTTGTGGATAAGAAACGTGACCTCCTGGGAGCCCACAAGTACTGGCGGAGGGCGATGGAGCTGCGCTGCGAGGGCGGGAAGTACCTGCCCAAACCCGAGCCCCGGCAGCTGGTGCTGGCCTATGACTATTCCCGGGAGGTGAATTCTCTGGAGGAACTGGAGGCCCTGATCACGGATCCCGACGAGATGCGGATGCAGGCGCTGCTGATCCGGGAGCGCATCCTGGGCCCTTCCCACCCCGACACTTCCTACTACATCCGCTACCGCGGCGCCGTCTACGCCGACTCCGGCAACTTCGAGCGCTGCATCAACCTGTGGAAGTACGCCCTGGACATGCAGCAGGGCAACCTGGAGCCTCTCAGCCCCATGACTGCCAGCAGCTTCCTTTCCTTTGCCGAGCTTTACTCCTACGTGCTCCAGGACCGCTCCAAAGGCACTTTAGCCACCCACCTGGGCTTCTCCGACCTCATCGGGGTGCTGAGCAAAGGGGTGCGGGAGGTGGAGAGGGCCCTGGTGCACGGCAAGGACCCCGTGGCCGACTCGGTGCAGTTCACCAAGACGTTGGCCATCATCCTGCACCTGGTGTTCCTGCTGGAGAAGGTGGAGTGCACCCCGGAGCAGGAGCACCAGAAGCGCCAGACCATCTACCGCCTGCTCAAGTGCAGCCCCCGGGCCAAGAACGGCTTCACCCTCCTGCACATGGCCGTAGACAAGGACACCACGACGGTGGGGCGTTATCCCGTGGGCAAATTCCCGTCGCTCCACGTGGTGAACTTGCTCCTGGAGTGCGGGGCCGACCCGGACAGCCGCGACTACGACAACAACACCCCCCTGCACGTCGCCGCCCGCAACAACTGCCCGCTCATCATGAGGGCCCTGATGGAGGCCGGGGCGCACATGGATGCCACCAACGCCTTCAAGCAGACGGCCTACGAGCTGCTGGACGAGAAGCTGCTCACCAAGAGCACGATGCAGCCCTTCAACTACATCACCCTCCAGTGCCTTGCTGCTCGAGCCCTGGACAAGCACAAGATTCCCTACAAGGGGTTCATCCCCGAGGAGCTGGAAGCCTTCATTGAGCTGCACTAGGGCACGAGAGTTGATGTCCCCCAGCCTTTCCCTCGCCTGTCCCACCCCATGGAGGTTGAGCAGCTGGAGGTCTCGGGCTGTCCTCAGCTGGGTGCTGGGTGCTGAGCTTTGTCCCCATCTGTCACCACAAAGCTGGCGAGTCAGGGCAGGGAGGAGGAGGCTCGAGAGCTCACGGCTGTCCCTCGCTGTTGTCACCTTCAGGTACCAGCTCTCTCCAGTGCGCTGTGTCCACAGAAGGCCACAGCCCCTGCCCTTTCCCGTCTTGTCCTGAGAAGGAAGGAGAATGGAGATTCCCTGGGACTTGCTGCCTCTCCTGTTAGTGCTGGATTAACTCAGTGTTCAGCTTTGGAGCAGCTACACACCCCCCACGTGCTCTGGCCCTCCCCAGCCCACACATCCAACACACAGAAAGCGAGTGAGGAATAAAATACCTTCCAACTAATTCCTTCCCCTCCCTCTTGTCAGATTTGGGACAGCACAAGTCCAGCAGCTGAGGGGCTCGTGCTCTGCTGAGGGAGTTCCTTGCATGGCACAGGGCTGGGTGTGCTGAGGATGGGGTTTTTTTCTCTCTCTTGGTTGGCCAAGTGGTGTTTTAAGGCCTGAGATGTCCATGATTGTGCATAAAGCTGGGATGTTTTTTCTCTTGTAGAGCCAGGCCCTATCTATGCTGCAAGACTTCTCCAGTCCTGTAAGATAGAGGAAGGTCAGTTCTGGTTATACAGTTTCATCCGTAGATGTCGGGGTTTATGAATGGGGAGGAAAAACTTACTTTAAAACCGAGTTGAAAAACGTGATGTTCAGGCCCTTGGCTCGCCCATTCCACACCTGTGTGCTCCATTCCCAGTGTGGAAGTGCTTTAGCTCCAGAGGTCAGCAGGGACTGAGCTGTGAGGGTGGATGTGGCCAGGTTTTGGAGCCAAAACAGCGCAGTCTGAACCATTTCTGAGGCTGAGCCCTGTAGGGCAGGAGGTACCTGTAGTGTGGGGATGCTTGGGGGGGTTATTTAAGTGAGTGTTTGTGCCATGTTTGCACCAGGGTGGGCTGGAGGAAGAAGAAACAAATGAAAGTTTAAGGTACCTCCTTGTCCTTTGGAGGTTTTAGTGTCATCTCCTTGGCCTCTGTTAATTATCCCATGAATTAAACCTCCGTGCAGTGGGTTCTTAGCAGCTGGTTTGGGCTTTTGATTCTTTTTTTGTTTTGTTTTGTTTTTTCTTTTCTCAACTTTTCTGAGGATGGTGCTACTTCAGAGGTGGAATTTGAAATCTCACCTGGCTGCTGTTTGGACAAGCTCCTTCCTTGAATTAGGATCTGCACACACTTTGGTTTTTAAGGCTTAGGGCAGGTTTTTGCCTCCACGAGCAGAACCCTCTGTGGTGGAAAACAAACAGTTTCCAGCAGTTTGTCCTCGTGCAGGGGGGGGGTGACAGGGCTTGGGCAGCCTGGGGCTCATTTCTTGGCCCTGAGCAGGGTGGGAAGCACAGCTGGGGAGGGGGGAAGCAGCTGCCTTGGAGCTTTGGGAAAGGTCCCACTTTTGGGAGAGCAGACCCCTGGCACCACCTGTGCTCTACGTGCTACTGAAGCTTCTCTACTTGTATTTATCAGCCTCAATAACCAACGCTCTCTGCCCCTTAAAGATATTGTAGAGCTGCCGTTACATTTTTGCAGTGTTAACTATAACATTTATTTATAAAGCGAGGAGGTTTAACTTGAATTGAGCTGTAAAGTGCAGAGTTAGTTTAGCTGCCTTCTATTTTTGTTGGTTTTTTTTTTTGTTTTGTTTTGTTTTGTTTTTTTTTTTCTTTTTTGGCTGAAACCTGACCTAAACTGCAGGAATGGGATTTGTTTCCTTTGTGAGCTGATGAGCGCTCTTAACTTTAAATAATAAAACAAAAAATGGCTGCTAGAATGCAAGTGCCTTGGACTTCTTCCTGGGAAGCCTCTATTTCCAGCTTGTTTCCCCAGGGATGGGACAGTGTGGGTATGGAAATACGGGGTGTTTGCAATCAACAGGTGTGATGGATTCGTTGTTACTCCTGGGAAAAAAACTAATCTGTGCTGCAGTGGCAAACATTTCCCTTGGAAAAGGATAACACTGACACTGAAATGACACCTCTCCTTATATATTTTGCCTTGTATTTTGGTGGAAATGAAAGAGTGTGAAAGGATCTGTGTTGACTCAGGTATTGCCTGCCTTACACATCTGGGACAGTGGGCACAGCAACCAGAATTTATGTTATCAATTGATATTTTTCAACCCCAAATCTGTTGGTGGGAGGGCAAAACCGGAGGGATTAAAGGTACTGGAGTTAGTTCCACACAAGGATCTGGGTTTCCAAAAATGCTTTAGCCTTCCCCAGTGTCTGCAAATCTGTGGGAAGGGCTTCTCCCATCCAAATATTCCTCCTGTGCTCCAGGTGATCTTCAGGTGTGTGGGAGAGCAGGGGCCAGGCAGGTACAAGGAGCCAGGTGGCCTCAGGACAGAGGCAGTGGCTGATCAGTGCAATTCCAGCTGGGAGCAGAGAGATGGGAAGGGAATTATTCCGTGCAGAAGCCACCCTGGAGCTGGGATCTTGTGGTCAGGGAGCTTGGGGATCGAGTCAGGTACAACAGCCCCAAGGAGGAGAATATTTTGTGTGATAGAAAAGGCTTTGATTTTTTTTTAATTATTATTTTTAACACATAAATCACGTGTAATTACACTGAGGGCCCAGCAATTAAAGGTTGATAGTAATTACAGGGTGGGAGAACTCACTGCATGATTTAGGGGTAATTACACTGAACAGGCCTCATTTATTGTAGGTGTTGTCTGGGCCAGCTCTGTGTGGGGCAAGATGTGGAGTTGTGGGGAGCAGGGCAGTGTTTCAGGCATTGTTTTGGTAATTATATTGGACAGAGAAGAGTTTTGTTCCACTGGGGTGGCTGCAGACCCTGCTGTACCCCACACATCCTCCCCTCTCCCTGTCTGTGATCCAGGCTCACTGGTTGTGGCTGTGCTGAGGTTGTTTACAAGCTGGAGCAGCTTCCAGTTGCCTAATTCCATGTGATGTTTATTTATAGCAGGAGAGGAGCTGGGGAAGGAGGGCTGTGTGTGTTCTCCTGAGGGGAGGGAACTGTCCTGCACCAACTGCAGGGAGGCATGAGTTGCATTAACACAACACCTGTTTAACAGAAAATAGAGAAATAAAAGGAATTTGAGCACTTGGAGGGTTCCAGCAGGCTCTGGAAAGAGTAGATGAGTTAATCTGTTGTCACTGGGTCCTGCAGAGTTGAAATCCAAACCGGTTGAAAGCTGGGAGCCAACAGTGGTGGCATCTTCTAAACACCAGGGCTGGTCTGTGGTTCTTGTGCTGCACAGGATGGGAGAGTTTGGTTTGGCCAGGCCTGATGGCTTGGGCTGGAAGTGAGGAGGTCCAGGAGGAGCTGAACCTCCTTGGAGAGGGAAGGAAGAAGACAGAAACCTGTGGACAGATCCGTGAGAAAGGACCTGTGGCCTCCAAGGAGGAAATTCAGTGGGATTTAAATGCAGAACTGTAACAGCCACTGCTTTGGTGCAGTTAAAGAGCAGGGACACATCAGCTCTGGGTTCCCAGCTCAGAGCTTGCCCTGGAGCTCAGGCAGTGCCCAGGTTCTCCAGGATCCCCCTGCAGCCATCCTGAGGGACACAAGCTGCTGGAAAATGAAAAGGCAGCAGTTGCAGCTCTCCACACAGGGTGGGAAGAGAGGCCCGTTCTCCTTCGTGCTGGTCCTTGGTGTCCTCAGAGGAGCCAGAGCTGAGGAGATTCCTGTTCTCCATGCTGGGGGTTCCTGTCTCAGTGTCAGCTCTGTCTCTAGGCTGGTCCTTGTCTGGGAGGAGATGCTGGTGCACAGGGAGCCTGAGGGAGAGAGAAACCTGGACACTGTAGAGCCCAGTGCCCACTGAGCAAGGATTAATGTCAGTCAGAGTCTTCTCTGAGGACTTACTCATGTGTCTCATACAGGGGTTGGCTGTGAGGCTTCCATGGTTCTTGGACAAGGAGTACAGTCCAGAATTAGGCCCTGGGAGGGCCCAGCTTGGGCAGTCCCAGGTCCAGGATGGTTTGTTGGGGTCCTGAGCTTTGGCTGCTCTGGGCTTGGAACATGCTGGGCCAGACGTGGAGTGACAGGAGCACACACACCCCTGCAGAAACACCAACACCTGGACTGGCATCACCTCCCTCTGTGATCCCAGTGGCCCTCGGGATCCACTTTAACAGGGATGTGGCTCCTCAGCTCCCCCGAGGGGCAGGAATTGGGTGGAAGGAGTCAGGTGAGCCCTGCCCTGCTCCCGACACGGGGTGAGCTGGCTCTGGGCTCTGCTCCACCCAGGGAACAGCCCCTTTCCCAGCCACTCGGTGGCTTTGGGGTGACCTCTGCTGACGATCATGAAAACGGCTGTGCCTGGAACGCTGGAGGAAGAGGGAGGGATCTGAGGCCTTGCTCCAGGTGCCCTCCTGGTGTTAAAGCTCAGTAGGTACCTGCCTGGTACATCCCTCACCCAAGCCCTGCAGAACACCCTCCCACCCCTCATCCCCAGCTCTCTCCAGCCTCCTGCATTGCTCTGCTCAATGCTTTTGCTTTTCCATCCCACTCTTTCCTCAAAGGCAGTAACAGAAACAGGTGGGATAATCTCAGCAGGGAACATTTTACAACAGCCAGTCTGACAGGGCCTGGTCCCACCTCCAGCCTTGTACAGGGGGTAAGAATGGAGGAGTGGACACTTGGCTTCTGCCTCCCTGCACTTTGTGCTTCCCCCTCTCATCTCACTTCCATTAAGTACTTTTTCCCCAAGCACAGCTTTGCTGTTAAGATTCTTATACCTGACGTGTAATCTCAGCTCTGTAAGTTTTCTTAAATACAAAACCACTCCTGGGAATTTCGTCTTTCACAACCAAAACCTTCTCTCTCTAGTTCCAGAGGGGGAACTGGGAACAGGGATCTCTGGTGCCTCAGCCCAGAGTCCTGCAGCCTCTCTGGAGTTGCTGAAGCTGCTTTCCAGAACCTTCCTGGGGCTGATGTGAGGGGAGTGGGGACCGCTGGAAGAAAATAGTGGGACCTTGTGGTGCTCAGCACCTTGGCAGGAGGGCAGAGTGACTCCCCAATCCCTGAAGGTTGTCCCTCAAATGATTTGCTCAGTGCCATCTCCCAGCCTTTTCCACCTGACATGCAGAACAGTTTTTCGTGTATCCCTGACTGCCCCTTTTCTGATTCTGCAGGAAAGAACCAGAGAAACACAAATAAATCCATTAAAATTTATTTATAAAAGCTTCAAGTAGCCCCAGAAAATCAGGAAAATAGTTTTCTCAGTAACTCAAAAGTAATCACAGGAGGTCCAACATAAAATCAGGAATTTTCCTCTGTGCTTCAGGAAAGTGGCACCCTTGACCCACAGAGAAATGAGATTAGCCCCAGTCCCAGCAGAGTCACGATAATCTAGGATTTGAAATTAGTTTTGCCTCTGACCCTGATCAGACACGGTGCCTGGTTTGTCCCTCGCTGTCCTGTGGCCCAGGGGGGACAGTTTCCACCTGCATCGTGTTGTGGTCCCCGATCTGAACCATCCGCGCGTTCTGGATCACGATCCCTCCCGGGCCTGGCAGGATGTTGTAGTGGCCTGGTGGGAGCAGTGGCTGGGAATTGGGGGGACCCATCTGAGCAGGTGGGGGGTGCCCAGCAAAGGGGTTGTTGGGGGGACACCACTGTTGGGGAGATGGCTCTGGTGGCCACGGCCGTGTCGCTGCTGGAAACACCTGGGAAGGGCGGCCAAGGCTCAGGGCAGCCAAGTTCTGCTGGGCCTGCTGCCGCTCCCAGCGCAGCTGGAGTTTCCTTCTCTGCATCTGCTCCCACATGGCTTTCTTCTGACTGATCTTCTTGGGGTTGAAAGTGTTGCTCACAACCCTGGGGAACAGAGGAGAGCTCTCATCCAGGGTCACCAGCGCGCTGAGCATCCTGGGGATCTGACCCTGCTCCAGGGCGTTCTCCTTGGGTAAAAACGGGATGACTGAGTAGTGCTTGGATGGGTCCTGGATGGACTGCATCAGGGCAGTGTCTGTCTGGAACAGACACAGGTTGCACATGAAGTTCCTGGTCAGCAGGAGGATCGTGAAGGCGGAGTTTTCCATCGCCTCCAGGAAGCCCCCCATGCGGCTGCGTCCGGCAACGGAGAAATCCTCGCAGAGCGTGGCCCCGTTGGACACCCCCATGCTCTCCAGCCGGTTCTTGACCCGCTGGGCAACAATCTCATCTTCACTGGCATGCAGGACAACAAACGTGAAGAACTTGCCACCATCTGGCTCTGACAGGGACACTGGGTCTACAGCTGGGAGAGAAGGAGGAGGCCAGGCTGGAGAGGGGGATGAGCGCAGGGGAGGGGGATTTAAGTTGGAAGGAGGTTCCTGAAGAGGAGGAAGGGTTGAGGAGAAGGAACAGCTGGGAGGAGGAGGAAGGGAACAGGTTGAAATAGAAGCAGATGTAGAGTTACAGGGAATGCCTGCTGGAATATCAGAGTCCCCTATGGATATGTGAGCAGGATCAGTCCCCACTGCAGCTCCTGGGTCAGGAAGACCAGTAGGTAATTGCTTCTCATCCTGCTTTTCATCCCTGTTTTCTCTTGGAGCAGGAGGTTCTGTCACTGTGCTGGGAATATCACTGCTCTGGGCAGGCTGGATCACAGCCCCCTCTGAGGGAACAGGGAGCACTGGATGGCAGGAACTGCCCTGCAGAACCTCCTCTGGCCGGGGCACTTGGGCGCCTGTGTCCTGGCCGGGATGGGAGCTGGGGCTGCTGGTCCAGCTGGATTCCTGGGGGCTCTGCGTGTCCCCATCGGGGTGTCCAGCACCGCTGGGCTGAGGGACACCCTCGGGGGGAGAGGGATGGCTGTGACAAACAACTGTTGGCGATGCACTGACCTCCAAACAGCTGGGGAGGGAGCAGCTCCCCGTGGAGCACAAGGTCCGCGGGGCCGAGAGCTCGGAGTTGCCTCCGATCGGCACCGGAGAACTTCTCACCACGTAGTCGGAGCTGCCCCCACGGAGAAATCCCGTGTCCTCATCAGATCTCAGCGTCCAAAATCTGTCACTTGGGCCCATGCTGGGAGCAAAGCCCTGTTTGTCCTGGTCCTCAGGTGGGATGTTGTTGAGCATTCCCCGCTGAGTGTCCTGGCAGGCTCTGGTGGCAGCCTGGCAGGCTTTGTCCCAGGCCTCGGGACTGCACAGCTTTTCCTGTGCCAACACTTTGTACACCTGTGCCAGAAGTGCCATGGCACCTGCATCCAGCTGGGGAGGCTGCACATCCTCCCCATCCTCCTGTGTTCCTGCAGCACCCAGTTTGGTCTGATGGACATACTGGGCTGCTGGGTTATCCCTCAAGGCATCCAAACAAATCCTTGCATCCGTGTCTTGCCCCAGACTAAGCAAGACCATGGCTTGCAGTAACTTGCTGCTGGGCCCAGGGATCAGGTGCTTCAGTTTATGTTTGAGGCTCAGGAGTTTATCTTGTGGGACCTGGGATAGAATATTAAACACGTCCTCAAAGCTTGGCTGGAGCTCAGTGCTCTGTTCCATCTCAGCAGCTGCTGGCCCAGACCACAGAATGAAGCAGCAGGGATGGGAAAATCATCTTATGGCAAAGGTTTGTTCCCGTGTGGGGCTCGGGGATGTCCCGGGTGCACTTCTCCTACCACACAAGCTCTTTGCTGTCTTGGGCTTGTCTTGGAACTGGGATATCTCTGTCCTGGGGAACCTGTGAGGAGAACAGAGGACAATACAGAGAGGGTGATGTGGGGAGCTGAGGGGATGCTCCCGAGGCTCGTGGAACTCCCAGATGCTCCCTCACAGCTCACAAGTATTTTTGCCTCTGTTCTGTGCTTGTGGCTTTGCCAGCGCTCTGTGCATTATCCCCACTCTGTGATAAGCAAAGAGCACGTTCCTTACATTCATTTCACATTAATGATAACTGGTTTTAAATAACTGCTGCAATAGTGATGTATTTAGGTAAATGTGTGTCTGTCTCCTCCAGGCAGCTGGTTCCAGGGGCCTCACAGGTTCCTTGTGCTGGCAGTCGAGGAATAAAACAGGCTTGGAGGAAACCCTTTCCACTTGATAACCCCCCGTGCATCCCCTGTCAGGCTGCTGATCATGGAGTGGTTTGGGTTTGGAGGGACCTTTAAGATCATCCAGTTCCACCCCCTGCCATGGGCAGAGACATCTTCCACTAGCCCAGGTTGCTCCAAGCCCTGTCCAACCTGGCCTTGGACACTCCCAGGGATGGGGCAGCCACAGCTTCTCTGCCCAACCTGTGCCAGGGCCTCCCCACCCTCCCGGGGGAATTCCTTCCCAATATCCCATCTAACCCTGCCCTCTGGCAGTAGGAAGCCATTCTCCCTTGTCCTGTCCCTCCAGCCCCCTGGATCCTTCTCCAGGTGACCCCCCCAGCTCTCCCAGCCTGGCTCCAGAGCAGAGGGGCTCCAGCCCTCGGAGCATCTCCATGGTCTCCTCTGGACTCTCTCCAGCGGTTTCACGTCCTTCTGATGTTTTGGGGCCCCATAGCTGGGACTGGGGACATTGTATCCCCATCCTCAGCTGATCCCTGAGCCCCCGCACTCACCCAAGGCCTCTGACCGGGGTTTAATTAAACAGCAGAAGCGTCCGGAGCAGAGGAGCAGATTCCCGGTGGGACACCGCTCCAGGCGCTGCCTGAGCACTGCTGCAGGAACTCTCCCTGCTGCAGGAACTTTCCCTATTTAAAGGGAGCCCCAGCAACTGCCCCCAAATACCTCTCGACTGTGGAAACTTTCTACTTTCAGTCTCCTCGTTTCCGCTCTCATAAAAATCCTCCAATTGCCCAACGAGCGCGGAAGTTGGAGCGGGCGGGGAGGGGAGGGGGCAGCGCTCGGGTCCGATCCCCGCGGGAGCCGGGGAGGGATGGGACGAGCTGGGAAGGGAAGGGATCAACCGGGAAGGGAAGGGACGAGCCGGGAAGGGAAGGGATGAGCCTACCTGCGGCCAGTCCCGGCGCCCGGGGCAGGGCGGAAGCGGCGCGGGGCGATGGGCACGAACGGGGCGGAGCGGGGCGGGACCGGGGCCCGGGGAACCGGGACGGGGGCAGCTCTTCCAGGGCTTGGGGACCGGGACAGGGGGAAGCTCCTCCAGGGCTCGGGGACCAGGGCCGGGTCTCGGCGACCGGGGGACAGCTCCTCCAGGGCTTGGGGAGTGACGCCGGGGCTCGGCGGCCACGCGACTCCAGCAGCAGCATCTCAGCCCCTCCGTGAGCCGCCACCTCCCCTGACTGGACCAGCCCTGCCCGGTGTCCCCCCCATGACAACGTGGAGGTGACACCAAAACATTTAATAAGAAAAAAAAAAAAGAACAAAAACAAAAAGGCAAATGATGAGCTCCTCTTGAGATGTTTTGAGAACTTGAATAAAATCCTCAATCAGTAGCTTAATAGATTCAAGGTGACAATGAATGAGGGAGCTTGAAAACGTCTAATCCAGGTGTCATTCATGGGTTTGGGTACATTTCCTAACACTTCACTAACTCTGGTGTAGGATGCTGATTAAACGCTAAGAAACGTGAATTTAGGGGAAAAAAATGAACTTGAAGCTGTGAGTCTAAGAGAGAAATATTGGTAGCAAATACACAATAAGAATGCAGCTGTTGGTGGGGGGGATTCAGAGCAGTGGGGGCACTGCCTCTAGGAAGTGTTGGGAGTGGGATGAGCGAGGCTGGATAGCCCAGGATGCAGAGGGGTGAGGGAGAGACAGGAGTGGGAAGTGAACAGAAGCACCTGAGCCTCAGGCAGAAGTCTTGGGGACAAAATAATTAAGATATCTTTCTACTTAAGAAAGCATGGGACCTGCTAAAAGCACTTTGTTTTTTTTCCCCTCCAGCAGGACCAAGTGGGCCAGAGAAGAGATTTGGTAAATCCAAGCTTTGAAGCAGCTCAGGTAAGGGGAGAACTCGACACTGCAGCTTTGGGTTCCCACAAACCCACACGTCTTTGAACGCAGGTCACGCTTTATTCTGATGTCTGCTCAGCAGCCCCAGCACAGGGGCCATGACAGAACACAAGTTACCAAAATAAATTACATTAGAAATTGTTACAAAGCATTGTTGGCTGGGAAAGAACCAGCACCTACACTCCCCCCCCTTTTAATAACAGAATATCCTAATCCCATGGCAGAGTAACTCCTGGGAAAACCTGCCTTGTTTGCCAGCTTAGTGGTTGTGAAGTGTTTCAGGCCTGGAGTTACACAATAACGACCCCTGGAGTCAGTGACAGAACTTTAGGAAAGATAAGCCCCTAAAAACCGACGTGATTAAAGAAAACCCCACCCTGGTGAGCGTTTCTCCGTGAAGGAAGAAGTGTTTGGGTGATCCATGAGGAGAAATCTCTTATTGATGAGCAGCTTCTTGCTCCAGCTGTGCCAGCTGTGCCACATCCTGCCGAGCCTCCCCGGAAGCACAAGAGGCACAGAGGAAGTCGTGGCTGTGCCGTGGGTTTTTAAACTGCATCAAAAGTCCAGCTCAGCATCTTCTCAAGTTTTCCACAGCTTGGGTGAATTAAAAACAAATCCAACGTTAAAAAAATGAGTTGAGACGACTTCTTCTCTGCCACAGCTTGTCTCAGCAAGAATCAGCCACTCACACGTGCAGCTGGGCTGACA